AGAAAAACGCCCAGGAATCTACGGCGGTGCGAGCATTACTGAAGCCGAGATGCCAGGCCAGGATCAGTACCATTAGAGATTCTTCGTCTGCAATACATTTAAAGATTCTGATACTATTAAGGATCGAGAAAAAAAAAGAAGAATTATGACGGTATAAGATAACGATTGAAATTAAATTTAAATTTTTTTAAATCAAAGTTGACTGGGAAGCAAGAAGCAGGAAGAGAGTTCCACAAGCGAGAAATGTGGGTGAAGAAACAACATAGAAGTTGCGGTTATATCTAGCCATTTCAACTCTATAATGATGAGACCGCCAATAGAGTAGCCTGCTTGAATTCATGAAGTCTAGGTGCCATAGAGGAAAGTTCATCAGAACAATTACCATAAAAGAATTCCTAAAAAAATGTTCAGGAAGCTACAGCGGTGGGAACATTACTGAAACCGAGATGTCAGATCGGGACCACTAATATTGCAGATTCTTCTCTTGCTATATATTTAGAGATTCTGATCTTTAAATATATGTCAGGAGCACCAGACATGATGCTGCAGCAATATTCAAAGCATTGTTTGGCACGACACAGTGAACCAACTTTGCCAGCAGCAGATCTAGCAATTGATTCAATATAACCATTCCACTTCAACTGAAACATTTTGTCCGAGTAGACGCAGTGTGTCATTTTCCTGGATGTTAGCATTAGACATGTTGATGGAAGGTAAAATATGTTCTCGCAGTTGATTTAAAAAAAGAGCGGATTCGCTTTGGAGGTGTCAAAATTAACAAGTCATTTCTTTCTCCAGTTAATATCAGAAAGTAGATCATTTTTTTAAATCAGCTGCAAATTTGATCTTATCGATCCATTTAGATTTAGTATCGAAACAAGAATAAATGTCTGTGTCATCAGAATAGCTGAGAATTGTTGCCATCAGGAAAGACTTTGATGAAAATTGGAAACAACGTAAGTTCAAGGATAGTACTCTAGCGGACGCTTGCATTAATGAATAAAAAATAAATCTAGAAGAGTGGACGTTCAAGACAACTTTCATTTTCGCGATTCGATAAGAAAGATTGAATCAGTTCAAAATTTCGGTTGAAAATAATGTAACCTTTGAATTTATGGAGAAGATCTGTATGCCAAACTCTGTCAAATGCCTTCAAGTTATCCAAAGGTACAAACCAAGCTTCATTATTCTTATCTAAAGCTTACTAGATTCTTTCAGCAATAAACGTTAACTGGAACATTCTTAAATGTCGTTAAAGAAGGTGAAAGCAGCAGACTAGGAAAGAACTTAAACCGTCAATTTTCCTCTGAGATAAGCATTACACACCCCGCACACCCTACCATGGATTTACAATAGTTAAGGATAAATTATTAATACACGACATATTAATAACACTAAGTAGTGAATTTCCATGACTATGATACTTCATGTGATCCAACATTACAGAAAGTCGTGGAATCAAATAGAAAATCTTTTAAAAACGTTTTGTGTCAGACCCACGGTCTTCCCAATGGTGAGAGGAAAAAGATCATTCAGGCCTTCAGTAATGGTACCAACTTTTATACTTTGGCTTCAAGGTCCCATCAAGAACCACCAAGAGAATGGTGACTAAGTTTTAAAAGGAGGAAACAGTAGAGAGGATGAACTGGATCAGAAGATCACAACCGGAAGAGAGGTCATTATTTCAACTTAGAGCTAAGATCGATTAGAAAAGATCCAACTCAATTCATAAGACGTTTGGCACGTGAGAGAGGATTTTCAGCTATGACAGTTCAAAGACCAGTTAAAAACGAGTTGAAAAGGAAATAATACGTGATACCTGTCGGGCACCTCGTTACACCAGGATAGAAAATTAGATGGTTAGAGAGGGCGAGGAACATCTTGAATAAGTTGGAAAATGATCCTGGAATAATGAATATATGCTTGAACTTAATTTGAATACTTTATGAGCTTCCGACTTTTAATTATGATTAATTAATTATGAACATGTCATTTTCAATTGTGATCGATTTCATCACTTTACCTCTGTTAAGCTTGGAGAGTAATTATACATTCTTATTGCTCAAAGTAGAGTCCTATAGTAATTCCAGTAAGATATCTTTAATCATTTCGAAGATACAACGGTTGAGATCTTAATCTAACAATTGGACATTTTAACTGTTACACGATTTGGACAATTTTGTTGTTACATCTGGTATATATATATATATATATATATATATATATATATATATATATATATATATATATATATATATATATATATATATATATATATATATATATTATTTGTGTGTGTGTGTGTGTGTTTATTAAACCATCTTTTATATATATATATATATATATATATATATATATATATATATATATATATATATATGTGTGTGTGTGTGTGTGTGTGTGTGTGTGTGTGTGTGTTACTAGGTTGGCATCTCAGAAAAACCATTTAACTGTTGAAAAGCAAAATGTAGCCGCCTCTTCTACTCCAATAGGTTCATGTCTCGCACTTACCGTCTGTTGAACTCCCTTCCTCTGACAGTTATAGTCGTCAAATATTTAAATGTAATGTCAATCGACATCTTCTAATGCGCTGATCTAATTTCGTAAATTTTTTTTATAGAAATCACGACTTTTTACTCTTGACATGTTAAAAAAATGCTTAATATATATATATATATATATATATATATATATATATATATGTGTGTGTATGTGTGTGTGTGTGTGTGTTTTAAAATATATTAGGTATGTAGAAAAATAGGAAAGAACACGTTAGGTAAATAATCTGAGTTCTTTAATTTTTGTTTTTACTTTTAAAAAAACAGTGCTCCATACAGAAGTAGAGTTTAAATTATAATTATTTTTTTTTAAAATATGATTCCTTCGCTACATAAGAGTTCTCATGTTTCAAAAACAAGCGCCAAAAACCACAATAAATAAAATAAAAATTAAATTGAATTAAAGTAACAAGCCCTGTTTCATCCTCAAGCATAAATTTAGGAATAACCAATCTTGAAATTTACGCAAACTTCGATTCTTAGATGTTCTCGTAGAAGCCAGTAATTATATATATATTTATATAGATGGCCACTCGTATTCGAGGATACCTGTCTACTAGAGTGGCTAGCCAATCCCTATTGCAGACGCTTCCTCAGGCACATTTGTGTTTATCCAACACCTACAGAGCCCACCTGTGGTTTATACTGCAACTATGCTGAGCAGACCTTAGTTACAGTTTCTGGGGGAGAGCGTGTTATCTAGCGTGATCAACAATCTGAACAAGGCCAGCACACTCAAACCCTCGGTCACGATGACTTGTGACTTCGTGCTATCACAACTATCGAAGGTCCCCAATTTCACACACAAGGCTTGTGTCAACCCATGCTATGGACTCTAGGCGCTTTCCAAAGGTGTCGTACGCTGGGATCGACGCCTCCAGTCCGATAACATCAAGTAGTCTCCTTCCTGACAAATCGACCATGGTGAGATTCGAATCCGGGACTCGTGGTCAGAATGACCACGACGTTCAAACCGAATTTAACCCGGCCATATATATGCCCATATGAATCCAATTATTATACATTATTAAGGATTACACAACTCCAGTCGACTAGAAAAAGAAGTTCAAGTTGATAATCTATTATAAAAAATTTAAACTGGCCAACCTCATCTACAATAGAAACTCTAACTACAATAGAAAATCTAAACTACAGAGAAGCAACACTATTTATCAATTTACATTCAACTTTACGGGATTACGTTCCTGATAAAAACAAATTCAGGAATAATTATTGCATCGGTCATACATGCTTATCAAGAAAACCTACTTTCAGCCTCTCAGCTTGATTGGGACACATTTAAATACACACGATGTCTTATCAACTATCCGCATCAGAAAACACCAACATAAGATCTAACTGCATAAAATAATAGAAGCTTTATTAATAAGATGAAAGCAACACTTAATAATATCAGTTGGGCACCTCAATGTGGTGTAATAGCGAGCTTGTCCCTGAGATCGATTCTCAGTGGGTGGCTATTAATTTCGTGCCACATCTAAGCTACGTTTGGAAAATCAGCTTAATAATATCAATTATGAACATGGCCACAACATCTGACAGTTTTCGTCAATTAAAACATTTCTGCTACTATAAAATACGTATTCAGATAAACAGAAAACATGATTGATAATGGCTAACAGACGTGAACAGCACGCGCAACATGCCAGTCAGATTAAAAAGCCAACGATGAGTTGTCAATGATAAATAGGTAAAAATTTACATATAGCCACGGAGCAAACTTTAAGCGACATCTTATCCAATGACATCTCAGCAACGCCGCACGGTTAGTCTTACTTTTTCAAAACTGAAATATAGATAAATTTATTTGCTGATACTTCAAACTTTTTTCAGTATTTTAAACTTTTTTCTCTATCTTTCAGTTTTCAAAAAAGTAAGATTAACAAATTGGCGTAAATTGAGATTATTTTGGATAAGATGAAATTTAAAACGAATATCCGTGGCTAACAGATTATTTGTTCAGGTCTTACACACTCTATGTCTAAAAAAAGAAATCTCTTGTACGTATGCAAGAAAGATAAAATAAAAAGCTTAAACGCAGCGTCTTATCATTCATCTTTAATGAAACCTACATAAAAGAGGGATTGCTACCCAAATACACATACGCACACACATATGTGTGTGTGTATACACACAGGTACGATTGATTGTTTTATTATTTTACGGCTTATCACCTTTTTGAAGATTATTTAAAGCCAGAAAATATTTGTAGATTGTAAAAATTTTGTGCGGTAATAATGATTTTCTGATAAAAGTCCTACAATTTAACCCATAGCTGGGGAGAATAGAGGTGGATTTATACCTTTCCCAAAGAGTTGCGCGTAAGTTAATACGACGAACCCGATTGTAATTAGAACTCGGCTCTTCAGTTCCGAGCGGTAATTCTTTACACAACCCGCATACCCAAGTTTATAGCATCTCTGCTATGCCGAAGCGGTCACCCATCTAGGTACTGACCAGGCTCGACGTTGCTTAACTTCGGTGGTCGTACGAGAACCGGTGTTTCCTCATATATATATATATATATATATATATATATACCTGTCCACTAGAGTGGCTAGCCAATCCCTATTGCAGACGCTTCCTCAGGCACATTTGTTTTTATTCAACATCCACAGCAAACCTTAATTACAGTTTCTGGGGAAGTGAGTGTTATCAACAAGTTGAACCAGGCGAGCACTCGGCCACGATGAATTCAAACTTTTTCTAGCACAAATTTATTGACGGTCTCCAATGTCAAATACACCCAATTTCATTCACAAAAGATTTGGTCAACTTTTGTATTTATGTTTTTTCAGGCATTTTCCAAAGATGTTGCACATTGGGATCGAACCTCCAGTCCGATGACATCAGAAAGATCCTTCCTGACGAATCGACTATGGTGAAATTCGAACCCGGGTTTAAGAATGCGAACGTTCTAACTACTTCAATATCCATACGTGTCCAACCGATGATATAACCTTAAGCCATACCATGCATACATGGTATCCGATGTATCTAGGTTTTGATGTTGCTTAACTTCGGTAATCGATGGAGAACAGATGTTTTAAGATGATTATATAGTTGCAGAAAGCACTTCACGGCCGTTTCGTCCTATATTTGGGACTCATCAGCTGTGCGCACCCACTACCTTGAATTAAAACCCGGACATTTAGGTTATCAAGCAAACGTCATACCAACTGTTCCAACGGGCCTCGGTGACGAAGAGATTGCAAATCAGACTCAATATAGCGCCGCTCGCTCACATATTCCGTGGTGGGACCATACTGCGTTTTCTGTAACCATAGCACTGTGCCCCCTGGAGCTACGACTACTCTCACCAAGCCGCTCAAACTTGAGCATTAAACAAAGAGGTTCAAGCAATGATATACACCCCAAATTATATAAATATATATATATATATATATATATATATATATATATAATTAAAACATTGTCGAACTTTGTCTATTTCTTAATGTATATATATTATATATATATATATATATATATATATATATATTAAAGACATTGTGATAATTTTGTCTATTTCTTTTAATATATATATATATATATATATATATATATATATTAAAGACATTGTCGGACTTTGTCTATCATTTAATATATATATATATATATATATATATATATATATATAAAAGGAGAGTCGGAGAACCTCTTTCGCAAACGCAATGGTAACAAAAAAAGCATCACCCACATTCATAGGTAAGTATACACAGAAATACACATATATATTCAGGAACACGTGCGTACATTTCGCTCACACGTGTGTCAATTGTAAACGTATGATTTCGAAAGTACACTAAAAAAATAACACTAAATATCCTCTTTACTGCTATGCGTAAATATTGCCTGTTGACTAATGTTGTTGAGTAGCAAATATTTTGAAGGATTACACACATGTCCATAAAATGAACGCGTTGAAGGAAAAGAAGAAAAAATGTTCGCTCCGGCTGTGCGTACCGGGAAGGAGGTTGATAAGTGAATAAAATCTTGAACACAACCGCGTACACATTTACAAGAATGCCAATGACGATACGATTGTTTTTTGTTTTTTGGTTGTTTTTTTTGTGTGTGTGTCAAGATTCCTTGTGATGGGATAAAACGCAGAGACATGGTGGCATACATTTCCCAGGCACATTAGTGCGAAGTTAACGCAGAGACAGCAAGAATTCGATTGCCGATTCTATTTGAGATGATATTTTTTGCATCTGCAGTCAATGTATAGTGCTAAATTTTATATTAGGTCAAAGGTCTGCCATATCCTTCCATGATGACAGGGATAAACATATTTTTCTTATATCCTAACATTAAAAATCTCTTCAATCCCATATATTATTATTTTTTGTTTAAACGTTTTTTTCCTGCGTTTACTACCAGTTGGACAAAATTCTAGCAACCTTTTGCTCCATCTGTTATCCTTTCTTTTTTCTATGTGTCCCACCCACCAATGAAATTATTTTACGCTCACACACAGGCACACACACAATGATATAAGCATTAATGAATTAATATCTCTGAAAGACAATAAATTAAAATGGACCCATAGGAAAAGTTATTTTTGAAATGCGTTTCTTTCCTTCTGGAATTTCATCAAAATCAGAATAAAAAAAATATTTAAGGATCTTATATGGGAAGCATAAAAAATTATTTTGCTTGGCGCCTTCATTTTGAAAAAAAAAATATTCCGAGTAGATTCATTGAAGGCTTTGATCTATATAATACATAATTTAAATATATATATATATATATATATATATATATATATATTTTTATTTATTTAAACCCCAAGCAAGGCGAGAATTTAGCCCGCAAGGGGTTTGAGAGAGTTGGAGCGAGAGAAAAAATATTGATATAGGAAAGGATGAAAGAGGATTAGGGGATAGATCAAGGCATCTGGAGACGTCGATTGACATTGCATTTGAATATTTGGAGATTATATTTATCAGGGAAACAAGAAAAGAGGAGGGAGTTCCACAGGAGAGAATATATATGAAGAATATTTAGATGGCTACATTTAACAGTTTCTGACAGTGAAAGGGTTTTTGAGATATATTCAGCCTAGTTGAACGCTTAAATTCATGAAGTTTAGGCATTCACTTACAAATTTTCACAAAAACCAAAGAATTTATAAAATGTGTATGAACTTAGGTTGCGTTCAGTGGAAAACCGCATGATGCCATTTCTGAGCATAGGTCTCTGGTTAGGACCCGGAAGGAAATGAGTTTACAACAAAAATCAAAATAATAATAATAACAAAAATTCACTTTTGGTTACCAACGTAACAAAATGACGTCACTTCAATAAATTCTTTTCTTTGCATTAGCGTTAAATTTTTTTAGAATATTTTCAAGTCCGAGGTAATGCTTTCTCCATCATTGCGGCTGGGAGAGGATAACAAAAAAATTGTTTATAGTTTCTGGAATTGTCATCAATGGTCAACTAAACTTTGTTTTAATAAATATTACATAGTTTTCAGGTTTGGATTTTGTTAAATAACGTCATTTTCACAACGAAACTTTTCTGTACGTACAAATAAAGGTTTTTCTTATTTTATTAAAGCACACAGACACGCGTACACACACACGCACACGCACACACATATATATATATATATATATATATATATATATATATATATATATATTATTCGTTCCATTCTCAAGTGATTTTAAGTATAACTTTCTAAGAAATTGATTTATTTAATATTAGCGTAGACAATATTCTTAAAATGGCTTGAGCGAAAACCCTGGATTGTAGGTTGTGGATCTAGATTTGAAGTTTTACGTTTTAAAACATAGCATGTTCTGTGTCGTGATGGAATCATATTTAAAAAAAAATAAGTATAATATTAAGATCTATGGATTGTAGTGAGCACTGTTTTTTTTTTTAAATTAAACTCTAAGTACTCCGAATGTCAATGTTCTTTCCTATTATTTTAAAACATATACATATTACGCACACACGCACGCAAACACACATATACATGGTTTATATATATATATATATATATATATATATATATATATAAGGAGGTATGGCTTTTAATGGATAGCGGCTCGAATATGAGAATCGGTGAGTTTTTTACAGTCAATTACATGGTAATACCGTTGGGAAATTGTCTTCTTCTCCCCCATCTATGGATAAATAGCAGGAAACTGGGTTCTATGCATGGCATCTGGTCTAGGAGTTAGACATTTCTGAATTCAAAAGTTGCGGAGGTTTTTGGTGGATATTTTTTGGCAGATACACCAATGGTTTCTGTATTCAGCCTTCAAAAAAATTGGTTGATTCTGCAGATTCACCACTATAATCAAATTGTTTTCTCAAAAAAATGGTCTGATTGTCGGTTTCTAGGATTTGAGTTGTTTGTTTATAACAAATCCAAAATTTAAAAACGAATTGAGAGTCTGTATATATACTTATATATATATATATATATATATATATATATATATATATATATATATATATATATATATATATATATGATTAGGCAGCATATGTTCATTCAAACAGATCAAATTTGAATAATTAAATATCAGTATCAAAAAGTTTTATTTATCCCAGACAACTTAACACCCGGATTTTGAAATAAAGTACAAGGGGGAAAAAAAAAACAATTGAAAGAAAATTTTGGTATTTTTCTTAATCAATTTTCTAAAGATACCAAAAAAATGAATCCGGGAAATTGAAGGTTCACAACGAAAACTAATCGATATGATATGCCTAAATTATTTAAGCAAACCTATTTAAAATATATATATATATATATATATATATATATATATATATATATATATTATCCGATGAGATGACAATTATCTATAATAAAATTATATATATATATATATATATATATATATATATATATATATATATATATCAGAGATTTGATTATTTATATATATATATATATATATATATATATATATATATATATATTCTAATAGCATAATTTTTTTTATAAATGTTTTGATTAAAAATTCGTATGACTCATACAGCAAGATAAATCACTTGACTTAAAATATTTTTGCCCTTCCTTTTTTAAAAGGATCCCTTTGCCGTGCTGATGTTGCTACATGCCGTACTTTTTGTCTATCTCACACTGCGAATTTTTTCTAAGCTCTATACTAAACATTAAATCTGTTACGAAAAAAGAACTAAACAAAATGAACACGAAACGATCAGCTTTAAAAAAGGACTCGTAACTGGAAAAACCGAATGAAAAAAGAATGTTAACAACAAATACTTTTTCACACCCAACCCAGTTCTGCGGAATCAGAATCAACGTTGAGTTTAAGCAAGCGAATGAGCCAATTGAAGTAAAGTGCCATGCAGATTTAAATTTTTCCCACTTGTGACGAATGCAGCTATCGATGTTTTTTTGCATGCTAGTTAACATACATGTCAGTCAGCTGTTGGCTCTCACGCTGACCAATAGAATCTTCCTGCCTGTTCGTGGCAGCCAGCTATAGGTTCTCACTCTGACCAGTACAAAATGTCC